GCTTATTGGTCGGCAGTTCTCTAGCTCTGCTATATCTCCTTTTTTGTGAAGCAGGATTACAATGGAATTATGCCAATTTTTGGGGACTTTACTATTAAATAGACAGAGGTTAAAAAGGTCTTTTATTTTTAGCAGTACATGTCGGCCTCCTATTTTTATTGCGTCTGTAACTATGTTGTCTTCCCCTGGCGCTTTATTATTTTTTGTAATGAGTAACGCAAAGTAAAAAACTATGTCGATGTTCACTTTTTTTAAATGGAATGCCCTTTATTTTCTTCCAAGTTCTCAAAGTTCTCGTTTTTGTGATTCAGATCATATGATATGTAGGTAAATGTTTTTTTCAATAGTTTTGGAAATATCTGGAGTTTAGTTATTCAAAAACAGTAGTTTTTTGAATATATTCTACCTTGATTTACCTGTCACCTGTTCACAAAATATTCTGATACGTGAATGGGTCTTTTTTTATATTATTTTATATTTTATGATATTTTATGATATTTTTTGATATTTTATGTTAGTATGAATTCAATCCTTTGTACAGTTTTTGAAAAATCATACAGTTTTGTATATTTTCGTAGGGTTCTCCATTCGTAGGTCAATCGAGTGTACGCCACTGGCATTTTCCTGTTTCTGACTACACCTCAACGGCCTCAACCTTTCCGTGTTAGTATGAATTCAATCCTAAAGTTTGTTTTTTTTTAAAGATAATTCCCAAGTCAAAAATTTAGTAACTATGTTGGCAGCACAAGCCTTTTCTACATAAAAAATTTGAAAGCATTGACAATTTTACATTGTATTGCCCACTTAATGTCACTTTAGATTTTATGTACAGGGTGGTCCAAATTGGACACTTTCTTATGGAAACACCCTTTATTTTTAGAGATAGAAAAAAATTGACCCCCCACTCTGAGGCTCAAATTTCATGAAATTTTGATTGGTGCAAACCGCATTCTGATATCTTCAACCGTTTAGGCGCTAGAGGGCGATTCTCGATTTTGAGCAATGCTGTAAAGCCTCCATAACTTTTTTGTTTATGAAAATAATTCATTTTCGTATGATATTCAGTGACGTTATCAGTTTTTTTCTGTCTGGCTTCGATTTCGAGATATCGACCAAAATCCGATTTTTTTCAATAGGACACCCTATATATTAATAATTCATTAGAGAGCTATGCTTTCGCTAATTTTAATGATATAAAGTTCAATAGGTTTATCTCTAACAGTTTTCGAGAAAAAAAATTATTTCGGTTTTTGTCATAAGAAATAATGTTTAAGAAAGAGACCTTTCTCAGTTTCCTTACAGAGATAAAGTCTTTTTCCAACACATTGTTTCTTATGACAAAAACCGAAATAATTTTTTTTCTCGAAAACTGTTAGAGATAAACCTATCGAACCTTATATCATTTAAATCAGCGAAAGCATAGCATTCTAATGAACTATTAATATATAGGGTGTCCTATTGAAAAAAATCGGATTTTGGTCAATATCTGGAAATCGAAGCCAGACAGAAAAAAACTGAGTACGTCACTGAATTCTGCTTGAAAAAGTGCTTCCAAAAGGTCTTTACGGAAATGAATTATTTTCATAAACAAAAAAGTTATGGAGGCTCTACAGTATTGCTCAAAATTGAGAATCGCCCTCTAGCGGCTAAACGGTTGAAGATATCAAAATGCGGTTTGCACCAATCAAGATTTCATGAAATTTGAGCCTCAGAGTGGGGGGTCCATTTTTTTCTATCTCTAAAAATAAAGGGTGTTTCCATAAGAAAGTGTCCAGTTTGGCACACCCTGTACAATTTTTGAATAAATTATCCAATGACGGTTTTTAACTAAACTGACAGTTTGGTTGAGTTAGTGTTTTGAAAAAGAAAACTGGAATCAAGTCGAAAATACAAAACCAGATAAACACAAAAAGATCGTTTCTATAAGAAAAAAAAAAATGGCGTGCTTAAGACTGTGGCGGACCCAGGGGAGGGGCGCGGGGGGCGCGCGCCACCCCTAAGAGCCTGAAAAACTACTTTAAAACTCAAAACATTTGAAGAAAATCATAATATACATATAGAAAAATTTTATAGAAAAATTTTCCAATGAAATTCAATAGAAAATTTTTCAAATAAAATGGTAAAGACAAATTTTCCAAGCTGACACTATCGTTCAATTTATCGTTTTGTTTTTATCGGATACTGATACTAATTACTAAAGCAGATATAATTTTTTTTTTCTCCAAAACTGTTAGAGATAGACCTATTATTAAATCTTGTACCATTAGAATAAACACGAATAGAGCTATCCAATAAGTTATCAATATACACTGTGGGCCAAATTTATCTGGAACCCAATTCGGCTCTGAATATAGGTGTATTTTATTTTTTTAATTCGGCGGTGTTTTCTGAAATTTTGTTTGTGTGAATATTAGAGGGCCTTTGCGGCCTTTCCTTAGTTATTATAGAAAATATATCTAATCAAAATATACAGGGGTAGCCAAGTCGAAAGCAGTATTTTTAATTATTGCCTTTGAGGCTGTTGCAAAATTAGGTAAAAAATTTAATTTTGCAACGGCCTCGAAGTTAATGAACTGCTTCTTACTTGGCTTCCCCTGTACACTGTACATTTTGATGATTTTTTCTCTATAATTCACGAAAAGTCCCCCTAATATTCACACAAAATTTCACAAAAATCAGCCGAATTGAAGAAAATATATTCAGAGCTAAATTGGGCTCCAAATAAAAGCTCAGAGTGTTATAGGTCCTCCTATTAAAAAATAAGACTTTGGTCAATATCTCAAAATCGGCACCAAGTAGAAAAAAATTGAGTACGTCATTGGATTCTGCTTGAAAAAGTACTTCTAGAAAGAAAAATCAATAATTTTTAGAAATAAAAAAGTTTGCATTAATCAAAAATTCATGATATTTGAGCCTCAGCGTATGGGGTTCATTTTTTTTGTATCTTGCTCAGAAATTGACGTTTCCTATCAAAAGTGTTCAGATTAGACCACCCTGTACTTTCGTTACAATCTTTAGCCTACAAGTAAAGTCGAAATAAATGTATCAAAAATCATTGTTGATAATTCTGAACCTGCGCCCCCCCCCACCCCACCTGAAGAAAATCCTGGTTCCGCCACTGGCTTAAGACCACGCGGCAGAAGTGAAAACTTCAACAAGGCGAGATTAATAATACATAATACCAAACTTCAACAAAATCTAAAATGCAAACAACTCCAACATAAATGCTGACATATTGGCGAAAGCGCCCTTTTTTGAAACCAAGTAAGGATAAATCAACTAAGCGTGCAGTACTAAATAAGAAAAACTACGATTCATCATTTCTATCTCCAGAAAAGGAAAAAAGAAGCAGGATGTAAAATATTTGGAATTAGATTATGAACAAAATATTGTTCTAGCAATCAACTAAAGTTATTTTTATGTAATGCCCCGCCGTCTGACTGTCTCAAAAAAATTAAAAACTCCTGACACTTCATCATTCATCCCAGAATCTTCCTGGGTCATATCATCCATACTTTTTCCATTACCGCAATCTTGGATATCCAGTCACAAAAGGATTTATGAGAATCCGGCCTGTATAGTTATAAGTAGGCGATACCGTGATTCGATAGTATAATAGACTTTGGTTTAATGGCTAAGATTTTATGGATAACTTCACTGACGTATTGATAGTAGATAACGACAATTTTTAGAGATTTTGAGAAGTTTGGTAATTAGGCGTAAGGTGAAGAAGTGCCCATAAAATTAAATAAATCCGAGGAAAATTTGTGTCAACATTACTAAAAATGGTTAGAATTAATTGCCCATAAACTTCAAGATATTTAGGGGAGAATTATAGGGTCAGAATAACATCAACATATCAAGGGACTGGTCAGTAAAAAGACAGTAGTAAGTTAGAGAAGACATTAAGAAAAGAAAAGTGGTAAAGAGCAGGAGGTAAATTGATTGGTATGGCATATAGGGAAAATGTGCAAAGTCGGTTACAGACACAGTAAAGACACTATTTGATAGTATCAACAAATCGTTGAAAGAGACAATTTATGAATAAATAGTGAAAAATCAAGATATTGTACCTACCACGTACCCCAGAAATAAAAATAAATCACCGTACGCCAAAAGAAAAAGTTTTTATTAAAGTCACGAAATATTGATTCATTTCTTTATGACAAATTTGATGTTAAATCTTTCACTTTACTACGACCCATAAAAATATCCTATTTGGTATGTATAGATACAAGATTTTATAGGAAAATATATTTTCATTTTTCTTTTCTACAAAAATAAATTGATTCGCACAGCAAATATTTCCTCCTATTCGTCTAAAAACATATTGCACCTCTTTGTTAATATTCCTAATTTGTTTGTCCCAAATTCGGGCTTACAAGTTTTCACCATGTTAAAAATTAAAAATTCACGTCTGGCCTAAAGTAAGATTTATAATGGGATAGGGATTAAGACCCCGATGCACCTGGGGTATAGAAGTTATTGTATTCAGCAGGAATATAATTTTTACTGGGATTTGCGCCCAACTTTTATATGGGGGCAAGCTTTAAAAACTGAAAAGTTGGATTCTCTATTATCGTGACTGGTAAAATCTTTGATGATTTATTATACATGAGCTCATGGAAATTGATGATATCTTAAATGCTTGTAGATATAATAGATCTACCAGACCGGGAAGTTTTCATAAACTCTTTTCCGCGTAATAATATAAAATATAAATTACCATTTTTATAACAAGATTGCTATGAAGCTCTAATAACATTATGTTTGATATGCATTTGATTCTCTAGACATTTTACTACTGTCTACGTCCCAAATAAAACCTAAAGTTTTTTTGGCCGAAAAACCAAATTAAAAAAGTTTTTGGATATATCTCGGAAAAATTAGAGAACATCCTTCGAGTTTTGACGCAAAGTTAAGCTCCTGCTGAAACGGTAAAAACAAAGAAGTGAGAAGTAATAAGTTCTCGAAAAGTTAACGTCAAGAATATAAAAAGTTTCAGTAGCCCTTCGAGAAAAAGATAAATTCGATACATTATGGACAGCTGGAGCTTCCTGTGAAATATTAAATGGAGTTTTCTTGAATCAACATGTCTTATAGATACCTGTCATTGGAAATTTAATGAAACTCCGTTTTATTACGAAACAGCTTTATTGTTAACTTTAATTTTAATGCATCCTAAAAGAGGGTTTTTATTCTTGTAGTTGTTAGCAATATTACAATAGTAAGCGTAGAGTTATTTAAAGATCTAAAGGTTTTATTTTTTTAAATTATTAGATTCAAAAAGGAGTTTATATTGCTTTAAAGTTTTCTTGAATTATTGTCTTTACAGTGTGAATTTTTTGAATTTTGAAATTAAATTACTTGTTTTTAACACCTTGAAATCCTTTGAAACAAAGTTATGATCCAGTAGCTTTCCTCCCAATTCGTCTTCTTTAGACTTGAAGAATATAAGATTTTCTTCTTGCCTTTTTACTATCCCTTATTCCGATAAAATGAAAACTCCAACTTTCCTAAAAATTCCCAGTTCCTTGAAACGAAAATAATTTTTAGCATTTAGAACAAAAAAAAAATCACTCTGTGGAATAATATCAAGCCTCCATATACAAAGTGTTAAAAATTCGCGAGTAAGTATGGGGATCTCTATAATTATAAAACATACAGGGTGGGTTAAATTGGGACAAAATTACACAATTTCTTGTTCACAAAAATACCGTTTCGAAATTTGGAAAATTCCGAATACTTCCGGAGATATCAACATTTCATTCATTTCCACTGTTTCTCCTCTACAATATGGCATGATCAAATTTGAAATCCGATGATTCGTCTTGGAGCCACCATCATCAACTTTATTTTTATACGGCTCTGGATTTTTTATTCAGTTCTTTGTTAGTTTTTGACTTCCGTAATGCAATGGTTTATCAAAAAAATCGATAAAATGATCGACCTATTTTGATAAAAAAAAGTATGTTAATTTGCATGGAGATACCACACATCTTTCTCAACATAATATTTTCTTCATAAATTTGTTTTTGTCAAACTCAATATTTTCTGGCAAGTAGTTAATAATTAAATCGATTTATTTATTTTTATATGTCTACAAATGAGAATTTTCCAAATTTCGAAATGTTTGCCCCAATTTAACCGACCCTGTATCCCGAAATTGTAACACCATGTATGTAGGTACCCTTTGTCGTTTTTGAATCTATAATTTTTGAAATTATTCTAATTTTAACTTTGGTATAATTCGTTGACAAAATTGAGGGCTCAATTACATGGTTTTTACCAACGAAATATATAATCTAGAATTTGTATCACCTAAATATAACTATGTTACATTTATTTTGAATTGTTTTAATACTGAACATTTTTTTGATAATATACAATACACCAATTATTATATTTACATTATTATTACATATTTCAATTTTCAAAAAGTATAAGGATTTAATGTGCAAAAAGATGAAAAACTAATATACCCTGTTAAACACATTATCTAGAATTTTGATATGTACATTATTTATTTACATAGATACACAAAGATTTTTTTAAATATTGTACTAAAACAGCTTAAATTTAAGAGATTTTTGATTTCTATCGTACTTTTTTGTTTCAAGCGAATTCAGTTGCATATAATTTTGTACATTTTGGTTGCAGAAAAACGAAAAACTATCCCTAAATATTAGGAATAACTTTTTTTTCTTAAAAAGCAATCACTCACATGACACAGGAAGATAATTAAAAAAAAAAAACTCAAAAATTTTGCCAAATTTTGATATGAGATCCAAATAAATTTTTGTCAATGATAATTATTATTATCCTTATAGTAAAGCTGAATTAAAAATGTCTAAATTTGATATGTAGTTTCATTAAATTCGTCAAATATTTGTGAAACCCATCATTATTTTATGTACAAAACGAATATTTGGCAACTTAATTTGGTAAAATTTTGGCACAGCTTTGGCTCGCTCTACTATTTTCTACGGTCCTATGGACATAAGTTTTTTGAACGCCTTCCGAAACTCCGGATTGAAAATCGTATAAATAACGGGATTAACGAAACTGTTCATGTATCCCAGCCACGTGGTGAGCAAAAAGGCCGAAACGCCCGGATTGCAGGGAAAGTTCAGCTTGCTGCACATGGCGTCCAGGATGTTGCACGTGAAAAACGGCACCCAACAAATCAGGAACACTCCTGTAAAAAATAAATAAATATAAGACAAATTAGTGTTGAGTCGAATATAAATATTCGTTGAAATTGCAGCAATTTTCAGTTATCGTTGATAAATAATTATTGGAAAACATCATGATAAATGTGGCCCTATAAAGAAAGCATTAGAACGTTGGCGTGAGCCTGAAAACCCTTCTGAATCTGGAACGCAACTTTGATCCTAATTAAAATCAAAATTTTAAATGTCTACAGCTACATTTTCCGGAGCAATCCACTTATTTTTAGAGCAATCCACTAATTTTCAGAGCAATTCTCTCAGCGTGATCCACTAATTTTCAAATATGTACCTATTGTTTTTGAACGGCTAATTGTTACAGAAGCTCAACATTTGTAGGAATATTTTTGGGCTTCAAAATAGTTCTCTATGTATATCGCCATAATATTGAATTGCAAGTTCAATATAAGTCATGGAAAACGAGTGGATTGCTGGTTAAGTAACTTTGAAAATGAGTAGATAGATAAACACCCGAGCAATACACCCATTTTTAAAGCAATGGGGAGCTTGACTCTTTTTTTTATTGCTGATTTCATTAGTCGATGAAAAATAAGTCAAACCGTGTTTTTTCCTTTTCTTGTTAGAAAAAAATTGACGGAGATACAACGCTTTGAAACGTGCTTATTTTTCATACTCTATAACCTCACACATGCTCAGTATATCTATACATACAAAACTTAATTATTTGTATAAGTATCAGATTAATCATATTTGGACACAAAAAAAAAGGGTATAGATTCTTTTTCGATTTCCTACAGTTTGCAATAATCAATAATTTTTCATTAAAGTTCCCTATTCCCTATCTTTAGGTGTTTTTTACAAATTACCCTGTATCTCGGAAACTAATAGACATTTGGCAACAACGAAAAAAACTTTCAATTAACCTCCAAAAATGGCTAATTTTTTTTTTTAAATTTACCCGCCCTCGTATCTCTCACCGTTTCCGATATACCAATGGTGGCCCATGGTATTTCAGACACCCAGTATCCAGTATATCATCATCGAGGGCCTGTCGATGTACATATCGATATTGAAACCTCTCCATTTCTTAATTTCTTTTTTATATTCTAGTAAACTTTTTTCTAGTCCCGGCTCTTGAATTTGTTGAAATGAAGAAATTTCAAGAGCCTGGAATAGAAAAATCATGAATTTCCTTTTATCTACCATTTTTTGCTCAATTTTTCTACATATTATCTTCTCTTTTTATTTCTCAGTTTTTCTTGGCACAAGCTTGTTTGAGAGAGGTAGGAGGTAGGTTCCCTGATAACTTTTATGACGACAGCTGGCATACCTCAACATGATGCAAATCTCCATATGGCACCCAAGATGCGTCATCAAGTTACCCATTACCAGACAATCTATTAACTTCAGGGACATTGATCGTCTGGCATAGAAAAAATATGAATTTTCTGATCATTTGAAGTATTGACATTTGCGTTGCAAGATCTTTTCGATACATATCGATAGAATATGACAAATTCGTATCGATATACATCATCATCGAGGGCGTTTCGATATATATATATATATATATCGATATATCGTATCGATAAGCCCTCCTCTCCACTACTTTTTGTTAAGTTAAATTAAATCTTGAATTTTGAATTAAATTTTCCATTGGCTACTAAGTACGTATTTATTTAACTTCTCAAATTAAGTTGAATTGAATGCTAAATTAAATTAAATTTCTGTTTAAAACAAAAACCAATATTAGGTACCTACGAATAATTGAAAAATTACGAAAATCATCTTCCTCTCGAACGAACAAAAGCTTTATTGCTCTCCCTCTCCTCTTCGAATGTATAGTATGTATATTGGATATTGATGAAAATGAATAAATAAATAGAAAAGTATACGCCAGCGCCATCTCTACTTGAACGACCGCATGCATTGATCGTTCTATACGATATCTATATATATAAAACACAGTTGGGTTGGTTCTACTACTTATAACTCGAGAACGGCTGGAGTGATTTTTACGATTTCTGCTTTATTGGATTTGTCTTTGTCCTCAATAACATAATAAATCGAAAAAATCGAAAAAATTACTCATTTATGAAAAAAAATCACTTATCCCGCATACGGCGCCAACTCTTATAACCGATACCAAGTTTACCGCCACATTTTCATTGCAAACCATTTTGTATACGGCGCCATCTCTGATACCTAGAAAGCCGTTGCGCGGTAATTTCATTGCAGATACAGTAGAACAATGCTGCTCAGGAATTGGAGCTATTCCGAACAGAACTATTCCACTATTTCGATCAGATAGAGTGGTGCAGAAAGAGTAGATCAGATAGAGTAGTGCAGATAGAGTAGAACAGAGATAGAGTAGTGCAGTGCATGCAGTGCAGATAGAGTGAAACAGGGCTGCGCTAGAGATTTTTTTTGTTTTCTTTACATTCTTTGAACATTCCTGTGCCTGAGTTTATTTATTTAGTGGTAAACTTTTCAATAAAAATGCCCACAAGCTGCCTAAAAAGGGATGATGTAAAATTTTAATTTTAGGTGACTTCTGATCCAGAGAGTGAACATTATAAATAGATAAAAAAAATCTATGTCAGCGCCATCTGACTCGAGCAACTGAATCGATCTAAATGTCAAGGCTTACTGCCAACCGTTTAGATAGAATTTCCCACTCGAATGTGTAATTCCCAAATTTTCCCACCATGTACAATAAAAATTCCCCAAAAATTTCACAGGATTCTGGTAACATTTATGGTTACCAGGTCTGTTTCGCAATACGTCAAAAACCGTCCCATGAACGGTTTGGAAACCATTCTATACGAATTTTGGATTCTACGAACAAATTTTAGGCTTTGTGCTGCGCAGAATCTTAACGGTACCAATACGGTACATAATACGGCTTCGGGTTTCCTGCTGTGTTGTGTTGGAACCAAGCTCATATTAGACACTTTAAGCACAGCATATACAAAAACAATCAGCAGGCTAACTTGAGTGACAGCCCGTGTAATAAAGGAATCCATCGTCAGAATGTCACTAGCGGCCATTTTGGGATACGAAACAGGGCCTGATTAACGATAATTTAGGTTTTTTCTTTCCTGTGACAGAGTCGTATTGGCTTTAAATAAACTAATTTATTATTACTTACATATAAAAATGTTTATAATTACTAATTTATTATTATTATTGAATATACAAGAATGGTAACAGATAACACCATAAATGACAACACGAATATATCAAAATCGTTTTGAAAATCATAGCTAAAATTCCGCTCTACACCGCACGCCTATGACCTCCGTCAGAAATAAACAAATAAAATAAAATTTCGGCGCTCCTGCCGTTTAATGACAGCGTTTTGACAAAATGGAATCCCCTAATGGCGGCGTGCGCAGAAAAGATGCGCGTGAGAGTTAGCCTGCTGATTGTTTTTGTATATGCCGTGCTTTAAGCAAACCATACATTTTCCTACGTATCCGTATCCGCATCCGTAAACGCATCGATTTACGTTGGCTGCCTAAAACTGCGTTCAAGCATGGCCATACATTACGTAAACGATCGTATCCTTGGTTGAAACGTTATCTAACCTTAAGAAGTGTGATGATTTTATATCTATGTTTGTAGGTTTTCTTTTTATTCATAAGTACTGTGTTTATGTTGCTAAAGTTATTTTAGTGATAACTGACTGAAAGATCTCTAAATAAGCGTTAAAGCTGCGTCAAGTTAGCACCCCATAATCGAATTTCATAACTTTTTTGGTAGAAATCAATTGTGCTGCCAATATTAGGAATTGTGCTATTTTGGTAGGTAGGTAATTTAACTGAGTTATTTACAAAAAAAGTACAGGGGGGGCTAACTTGACAGCCCCCCCATTTTTTTGAATTTCGAATTTGAAAAAAATGTTCTCCTTGAGAATTGGAATTGTGCTGAATTGTACTGCACATATTTTTCCTCCTACTTCATTCCAACATCCCATTTTTTGTTTAAACATTATGGCGTGGCTAACTTGATGCTCAGCCCCATCATTTCTCGAAATTTTGCTTTAAAAAAAATATTGTTGTCGACGTTTTGTTATTTTCACAGCACTGATTGTAGGGATGGCAATATCGATAGGAATTATCGATACATCGTTATTCCGATACATCGAATTTAACAACATCAATGCCGCGATATATCGAGTATACTTGTATGTTCCATAATATCGATGTTTGAAACATGGCATGCAATATACCTATACTCACATAATTCGGAATAAAAAAAATTGGGGGGGGGGGGGGGGGTGAGCATCAAGTTAGCCCCCCTCTACTTTTTTGTAAGTAACTCAGTAACCAAAATAGCATAATTCCCAATATTGGCAGCACAATTCAGCACAATTCTAGCACAATTGATTTCTACCAAAAAAGTTATGGAATTCGGTTATGGGGGACTAACTTGACGCAGCCTAGTGTTACATGGGTGAAATACGTTTTCGGATACGGATACGAGGCTAGGCCCGTAACGATGCGGATAACGGAACACAACGAGACCACCATATCTATTCTGCGCATGCGCAGATCGATGCGGATACGGATATGTTTGAAAGTAGGATAATTTATTGAAAAATAGTTGGGCAACTGGAAATTACCGTATAGAACGGTTCTCATGTCGGTTGGAACAGGGCTATTGGGTGTGACAGTTTACAGCTACTTAGAGCACTGTAGTTAGAGCCTGGATGTGGAGCCATCTCGTAGCAGAACGCTAAACATTATTGGTTTAATTACCATGGAGACACAATGAAATGAATGAATAATAAATAAATAAATATATAATATTGAGAGTTCGACCGCGTTGACTGGCGTTGATACTTGACTATGGTGACAAGGCAAGGATAAGATGATTTTTGGGAATTTTAAAACATGACAACGGTGCAAGTGGTTGACAATTTTCATAAAAATGCTTATTTTTTAGTTTTATTCCCAAAAATACTCAAAACTTCTCATAAAAACGTATATTTTTTAATTTTATT